ACCCCTGTCCTCCCATACAGCCCAGTGCCCCCAGCTCGGACCAGCACCACACGTGCCCACAGCCCCATACCACAGTTCGGACCAGCACCTCACACCCCCACAGCCCTGTCCCCCAGTACAGCCCAGTGCCCCCAGTTCGGACCAGCACCACACGTGCCCACAGCCCCATACCACAGTTCGGACCAGCACCTCACACCCCCACAGCCCTGTCCTCCAGTACAGCCCAGTGCTCCCAGTTCAGCCCAGCACCTCACCCCCCTTCCCTGTACTCCCACTTCAGCAGAGGACTTGGAGCTCAGCCCAGCACCTCACCCCACCCGCAGCATTCCCTTCAGTCAACCCACTGTCCCCAGTTTAGACCAGTATTTCCCATGCCCGTGGACACCACTCCCCATTCCTGGCACCCCCAGTTTATTCCAGTGCTTCACCCACTCACAGCCAGCTCAGCCCAGCACCCCCAGTTCAGCTGCACACCCAGCCTGTGTGTGGTGGCCCCCCGGCCCCCCCCAGCCATGGTGCTCGCCCTGGAGCCCTCATGCAGGGGCTGCCAGAGGCCCAGGCCGCCTGTTCCCGTTTCTTTCCATTGGCCTCTTTGGGTCATTTTTAGTGATTCCGGCAAATGGCAGCGAGGGCTCGTCACTCCCCCATGGGTTAGCCACCACACCATGCCTGCGGGAAGCGGGCTGCAGAAATCAGACCTTTTGGCTCCCTGTGCTCCCAGAAAGGCACGCTTGGTCTTGTTTCTCACGTTCGTTGCAAGATCTCAGGGTGCTTTACAGCACTGATACGACTCGCCTTGTGGTTCCTCTAAACTTACTCTTGCTTCTAGATTAGTAAGAGCTGGCAGCTGTCGTGGTGCATTCGTCTTATTTTGCCTTTAATTGAATCATAGAATCATAGAATGTTTTGGGTTGGAAGGGACCCCTAGAGGTCACCCAGTCCAACCCCCCTGCAGGAGCAGGGACACCGCTAACTAGATCAGGCTGCTCAGAGCCCCGTCCAACCTGGCCTTGAATGCTTCC